CCTTTCCAGCTGAACACTGTCATTCTTCACCCAGCGAATTCAAGGAACAATACATAATTACCTCGATTAAATTCATTAAACAGATGATTTTTTTTTTTGCATGATTTGCTCAAAAAATACGCTCCATTTTCTCTCATATTTCTGAGAAAATTTACTTATATATTTTGACTTCTTTATTGAAATGGAGCTGAAGATGGTTTGCCCTCTGTATTGATGGGGGTCTGCCTTGCTAAAGCAGCTTGGAAACCTCAGGGCTTGACTTCTGCTAATCTTTGGGAGCTCAGTTAATAAGGTTTTTTCACCCAAACCAATTAAGATTGCCATCACTGGGAATGGAGAGAATAGAACTGTCAATAATCGCGTTCGAAAAAGCAGAAGTGCTGAAAAAAATATTTCTGTTCTCTCTCTTTTTGGGAAAAAAGCCAGCTGCTGTATTGAGATCAGACAATCGTGATGTTGAAATACTTTCCATTCCAGTAACTAAGGGGGATGTTAAAACAACTGCTACTCATCTCAAACAATCTCGAGTTGCCAGGTCTGGGTAACAAGTGAGTGAGTGTTTCAAAAGCACCAGCTAAGGACGTATCCAGATGGTTGATGTTTATTGTCGAGGCGTTTCAGAGCAGTGGGGAAGCCCCAGGTGACTTGAGGAATGTGAATATTATGTCAATAATTACAAGAGGGTAAACGGAATGACCCAGATACGCCTGTCAGTGTTACACAAACCCGGGCAGAAGACCGAGAGGAGTTGGGATATAAAAAGAATCCTAAATAAAGATGGTTTGGTTGATGACAACGCTGTTTCAAACAAGGGTGTGCAGGGTGATTTTCACAATAAGGAACAAGCACACGACAAACGAACACGGTGTGCACACGTGGATCGCTCCAACCACGGCCTGACGCATCTGGAGATGGAATTTAGATTTTAATCAAGCAGGTTTATTAGTCCTTGATCTTTTTTTTATCATCACTTGCCATTCAGTGCTGTTAACAATGACCTGGAAGAAAACAGAAACTGTTGCTGATAAAGTCCTAGTTGACAAAGCTGGGGGAAGTGCAGCACGATTTGAAGAACATGTAATTGTTCCAGGATTATTTTAACTATCCAGGCGGACACAAACCCCTCACATGGCCACAGGGAGAAGCTGAAGGCCACACTTCTAGGAATGGAACATGCAAGCAGCCCTGGGTTTTGGGATAGTCAAAAATCAGTTTCCCCTTTCACCTTCCACTATCCCAGGTTGCTCCAATCTGGCCTTGGACACTTCCAGGGATGGAGCAGCCACAGCTTCTCTGGGCAACCTGTGCCAGGGCCTCCCCACCCTCCCAGGGAGGAATTCCTTCCCCATATCACATCTAACCCTAATCTTTGTCAGTTTGAAGCCATTTCCCCTTGTCCTGTCCCTCCATGACACGAAGGAGCAGGGGGAGAGGAGGACTCTGCCAGGCAGTTACTCAGTGCAAGACCAAAACAGAGGGCACAGCTCGTCTAAAGAGACCTGTCTTGTATTTGTCTGCTGCTCCACTTTCTCAGTGCTCAAAGCCCACAAAGCACTTTGGAAATATGCAGATAGTTCAGAGGAGAATCACAAAAAAAAAAAAAAAGTATTAAAGGAAAAGATGTCTTAACTAAAACCTTAATGAGCGCCTTCAACTGCAGCTCATCAAAGAGATGGCTCATCTTTGTCTGGGAGTCCCTGCATGGGAACGAGCTCCAGTCATGAAAGGTCTTGTCAAAAAAGGCTCTTTTCTCCAATTAGTTCACGATGTTACTTTAATCAGACAAAAGACCTAGAGGATTAAATCTCTCTCCCCAGATTAAGACATGTGTCTCCAACACATACCCGTGTATTTTATTTTATGTGGTCGTTCACATCGTTTTATCAACTTCCTTGAGAGCAGATTCTGAAAAGTGCTAACTCAGAACCTGCAGTTTAAATTAGCAAAGAAAAAAAAAAATTTAAAAAAAAAATTGTATAGTCAACAGAACTGTGTCAACTCGAGAGCAGGCAGGGAAATCCTCTGATAGCTTTCATTTCAATATGAAGGGGGGTGTTACCAGTTGCTGTGATTTTCTCCAGGTGCTGAGGCCTCATTGTCAGCTCTTTCACCCCGCTATTACCACTACTATTACGTTTGCTCGGGGTGCAATCGGGTCTTTCTGGGAACAATCCCTGCGAAAGGAGGGGTTGGTTGGTTGGTTTGTTTGAGGAGTGAGGTGACTCAGAGCTGGAGCAGCTGGGTGACGTGGGCATCGCACCGACCCGTCCAGCCGCGGAGCTCCAATGAGCGCAGCCTGGATTCTTGGGTTAACCTGCAAAATCTTGATGGCAATCCCTTAAAAAGTTTCTCTTGATCTGAAAGCAACAAGGGAGATCAGCAGCAACACCTAGGAAAATCAACTTTGCCATATAAAAGTGGCTGACTCCGTGTTTACGTTGGCTGGGAGACAAATCACACATCATTTCGAGCTCTCCTCTACCCGCAGCAGATTAACAAATACTTTCTAATCTCACATTCTTCACATTTATACACCAGTGGCATCACTCCTGATCTATGCTAAGTGAGATCACTGCCAGGGGCTTGGGTTTAGATGTTTAAAACAAGCGTTGCGAGCAGCAAAAAGCCTGAAAATGTCAGCACAAGTGCCGTGGACCGAGTGGAAGGTCACGGCAAAGTTGTTCTCAATTTGCTCAGAGCCAGTGACTCACAAGGTAAATAAATTCTCCCATTTGTCTCCCCAGGTTTTAGCGCAGCTCTCGGTTTTTAGCCTCGCTGCTTTACTTGAAAACAAAAAGAAACTAAAGGCCGTGAAGTTCTTATTTGGCGAGCTCAGTTTTCATCCCCTGTGCCCGCTCAACGTTTCCTTTACGCAAAGAAAAAGCGGAGTTTGGTGCCGGTGCCAGAGACAGGGCAGGGTATAAACACAGCCCTTCCAGTGCCTACTGGAAGGAAGAACCAGACTGGGACTCCTGGGCGAAACCTCCACGTCCAGTTGTATATCCTAGAAACAAAATATTTTGTTGTAGCTGTTGCTGAAATCACAAGCACATAAACTGACACAGCCATTCGGGGTGTGTTATCAGGGGAACGTTCACATTCATTCTGAATTCATCAGAGTGTGCTTTCTTGGCTGACTCACAGCCCCATATATACATATCGCTGGGTTACGAGCGTTTTATTAGAGGAAAAGCGTTTACATTGAAAGATTACACAAGTGTGACATTACCGAGCCGTGAGTCACATCTTTGTGTACGGCGTTACCATGCACTCAGTGTATTGATTCTGCTCCAGTCGCAGGAGTTTGGCTGCTCCTCCTGGCCAAGCCTGTGAACTTTTCGAATCAAAACGATAGAAAGCTGAAGGCGAGGCATTGCCGAGTTTAAAACGTGGGGGGGTGTCGGAACGAGGGTTTGCTCAGCCCGGGGACTGAGCTCTGCTGAACGGGCTCGAAATGGCCCCCCCAGCAAGGGCATTGCTCCTTCCCCTCCTGGGGCACACCAGGCATAAAAGTGAGAGCTGTTCTCCTGCACTCTTCTGATCTGCAGCTCGCTCAGAAATCCTTTTAGAAGTGATTGCAAAGGAAATGTGGAGGAGGTAAGGGGAAAGCACAGCTCTGCCTCTCAACAGGCTCTCGAAGAATCGGTCTGTCCCGGGATAAATCATCATTTTCCCCCCTTTCAGAACTGTCACTTTTGCTCTCTCACTCCTGGATGGCAGCCAAGCAGCTGTGATCCTCAAAAACAGGAGTCTGGGGCACGTTATCAGAATTTATTGGGGAATTGTTCCCTAAGATTGGCATCTGAGCCAGAGGTCAAGGTAAGGGAGGAGAACAGTCTTCCCTTCTGAAAAATCCAGCCCAGCACCATAAACTGGCTACGAGCAGAGGAGATCACAGAAGCTACTTCCATTATTTCTCTCATAATGTCACAGGGCAACGTTGATTTTGGCAATGTTTGTGCAGCAAATGGAAACTCTGCTTGAGACTTGCACTTCCATTAAATGCAAAACTCCAGCAGAGACCGTACAAGAGTGACATTAAACACCTTTAAGCACTGAGATGGGTCTGAGGCCTTTCGGGTGACCAGTGCAGGAGGCCCCTGTCCCCAGCTCACCAGTTTACCCACGGGAGCAGGGCATCGGTGTCTCTGCCTGTGCCCCAAACTCCTTCCACTCCCACCCTCATTTTCTGGGTCTGATCTCACCCCTTGCTCCAGGGATGAGGGTGGATCGTGGGGCAGCTGCTCTGAGGTGTGTGGGGATCAAACCCCTCGTTCATGGTGTTTTCCTGAGCATCAGCAAACAGGGAGCCCTCATTGTCGCCCATCCCACAGCAGGTGCCTCATGGTGTGGTGGAGCTTGGACTCAGCAGTGTCCCCCCTCCCCAGTTCACAGTCCCTTGGTGTGTCCAGGGCAGGAACCCCCACCGTGTCCCCCATTCCACAGCAAGTCCCTCACAATCCCTGTCAGAGCTTGGCCCCATCAGTGTCCCCTCATGTCACAGACAGTCCCTCGAGTGTTTCGGGGCCCTATCCCTTTGTCCCCCCATCCCACAGGGGTCCCTCACAGTGTCTCTCAGCACACGGTCCCCTCAAGAGGGAAGGTCCCTCAATATCGCCGGGGCTGGGACCCCTCTGCCACCCCTCAAAGTCCCGAGGGGACACAGAGACCCCTCGGATTCCCCCCAGCTCACGCTGACGGGGGACACGGACCCCTCAGTGTCCCCTCTCGGGCCGCTGCCCGGGGCGGGGGTCTCGGTTCCCCCGGCCCTGCCGCGATCCCCGCGCCGAGGGGAGGGCGGCGAAGGGGGCCCGTCCCCGCTCGGCTCCGCTCCGCCCCGCTCGGGCTGGGACCGCCGCCGCCGCGTCCTTTTATACCGGGGCTAAATTTAGGCTGCGCCCGAGCCGCTGCCTCCCCGCCCGCCCCGTCCGGGACGCGTTTCCTCCGCTCCTGCAATTGGCCTGAGGCCGCCCCGCTCCCGCGTTATAAGGTGCGGAGGGCGGCCGGCCGCGCTCGTCCCGCACCATGGCGCTCAGCGACACGGCCCTGCCTTCCTTCGCCACCTTCGCCAGCCCCTGCCGCGAGAAAGCGCTGCACGAAGTGAGTGCCCGAGTGTGTGTCCCCCCCTCAACACCCCCGAGCCGAGCACCGACGGCTCAGCGCAGGCATGGGCGGGTCTGTCCCCCCCCCCCACACCCCAACAAGGCGAACGCACCTCTCTAACCTTGTCACTTTTCTCTCTCCCCAGAGGTGGAAATGCGAGCAGGAGGCCAAGACCCCCGCTGGCACCTGGGGCGGCCTCTCCCCGCGCAAAGAGGATGAAGATCTCAACAACGTGCTGGATTTTATCCTTTCCATGGGCAGCGATGGTTACGGCCAGGGCGCTGCCGGCGGGGATTATCCCCCTGCCCAAGGCGAGAACGGTGGCTTTTACCAGACAAACCCGTCCCCGGGATGCTACAGTGCCCTGGAGCAGGGCAGCCCCCCGCCCTACAACACCGGCATCGTGCCGGAGATGATGCGCTCCGAGATGGACTCCAACTACTGCCCTCCTGGCAGCGTCCACGGGCGGTTCTTCGTGACACCCACCTTCGGGGGGCCGCAGTTCGTTGAGAACATCAAGCCCGAACCCGACATGGACAATTACGGACCGGTCCTGGGTCTGGTGCCCCAGGCTTGCCCAAAGATTAAGCAGGAGGGCAACGCGACCTGCATGATGGCCTATGAGCAGCCCCGGGTGGCCAGTTCCCCCCAGATCCCCGGGGCAGAGACGCCCCCGCTGAGCCCCGACGATCTCATGGTGAATGACTGCCACACGCAGATGATGTGCCCCTCGTCCGTGCCCTTCCAGCAGAGCTACCACCCGGCCTCCGGCTTCCACCACCCGCAGACCCACCTGCAGTACCAGAACACCTCCCAGTTTGGCCTCTTCGAGGACAGCCTGCCCTTACAGCCCTCGGCTCCGCGGGGCATGCTCACCCCTCCTTCCTCCCCCCTGGAGCTGCTGGACTCCAAACCAAAGCGGGGCCGTCGCTCCTGGCCCAGGAAGAGGACGGCCACTCACACCTGCACCTACGCGGGCTGCGGGAAGACCTACACCAAGAGCTCGCACCTGAAGGCGCATCTCAGGACGCACACAGGTAAATAGAGCTGGTGGCTTCACCTGGAGATGCGCTGCGGGCCGGTGGGGGTAGCCTTGGATTAAACAGTCTGCTTTAAAACAGGGTATAAACAGGGCTTTAAAGTGTTTTAAGTCCAGGCGTGCTCACAGAGCTGTTGACAGGTGGGCAGGGCTGTAACGCCCGGGTGTTTCCCCCTGTAGGTCAAAGCTTTTCCAAAGCCCCTCTTTCGCGGCAGGGAGGGGGGGTGGGTGGGTGAGGGAATTACCGGGGCAGTTCTGTTCATTTTTAAGGCGCTCGCGTGGGGATAAATAAAGCTCGGGAGGCTGCCTGGCTTGCCCCGCTGAGTCACGCTGTGTGCTGTCCCCGCCAGGTGAGAAGCCCTACCACTGCAACTGGGAAGGCTGCGGCTGGAAATTCGCCCGCTCCGACGAACTCACTCGCCACTACCGCAAACACACGGGCCACCGGCCCTTCCAGTGCCACCTCTGCGACCGGGCCTTCTCCAGGTCCGATCACCTGGCCTTGCACATGAAGCGCCACATGTAGCCCCGGGGGGGGACTCCGCCCGGCCCATGCGGTGGACGATGTTTTTATAAACTGCTCAGGTGCGGGAGAGTGTTAAAAAAAAACCAAAAAAACCCAACCACAAACCTGTAGCTGGTACTACGTGGGGAGGCACCGACCGAGAGACGCTCCAGGACGGACGCTGATTGAGGGTTTGACACAAGGAGGCTTAGCCAGGAATCTCCTGCAGAGAATCTGCCGTGACTGTTATCAGTGACCTGGCCGTCCCGGTCAGGAGAACAGGGGGTTATTATTATTATTTATGCGGCTTCTGTGAAAGGGTAAAACTCTGTAAGACTCCATACAGATTGGAGAGAAGAAGCTGTAAATATTGTTTTGTTTTGTTTTCCCGATTCTACCCACCCGGTCCTAAGCTTTACAAGACAATGTTTGTATGGAAACTGCCTGAAGTTTGACCCTAGAAGAGATAAAAAATGAATGTTACTGTAGCTAACGATGTTATTTTAGATCTCAGTTGAAGGCATGGCTAAGAGAACACTCCTCTTGTTAGACTGTTTGGTTCACAGGTGCAATAATATTCTTGTTTGCCATGATCTACACTAGAAGTACAGGGCTTGATGTCTTGTAAGAAAATAACCTATTTTACTGTAATTTTTTTTATATATTGTAAATAATTTTATACAATGAGAAATATTGTATATGTAAATAGAAGACAAATGGGTATTTTGCCTATTTCTGTTTTTATAAAAACGTAATTTTTCAATGTTTGAAAACATTTCATCTTTTTAATAAAACAAGTTTTTAATTGCTGTGATTTTTATTCTCCTTTGAGATCTCCCTGTTACTTTTTCCCTGATGGCTGGACCAGCAACCACCTGGTTTTGTTTTAAAATCACCAACAACTGTAAGAAGACACTTCAAAAAAAAAAAACCAAACCACCAAACACAACTGAGCCGTGGATTTTTCTAAAAGAGATAACAGAGTAAGTAATTCATTCTCAGTGGTAAATGAGACACAGTGCAGTGCTTTATGAAAAACTCACAGAGGAAAGCAGATCATATTCAAAATACACTTCCTAAAAATGGTTAAGTAAGCAACACTGCAATTTCAGTCTCATTTCTAGTTTATGCTAAACTATTTTAATAGCATCCTTAATGTTTTCCAGATGCAGTTACAGTTTTGCCAGCAGTGTGTGGGTTTTTACTATAAATTTAAACACTGCATTTTTGTAATTACGGAGGCTTATTTTAAGGCATTCTTGTACATAAATTATCCTTGTTCTCAAGAGCTCAGTGCAGAATTCCAATGGAACAGTAGTGGAATTCAAGCAGAAATTCACTGCACAGGTTAAAAATACCTTCATAACTCATTCCCCAAAACTTAAATGCACTTAATAGTCTGTAGTCCCACCTCGATTTCAGGAGTTAAGAAAGATATTAAACATTGGGGTGGGGTGGGGGTGAAGGGGGAGGAAATCAGCCAGAAATCCAAATTTCAAAATCCAGATTCTGAAAACTAATCACAAATAAAGTGGATGCTGCAACAGCTGCGGCAGTAAATGGCTGCAAAAGTCAGATTGAGCCCCCCAAAAAGCTCTTCCCCAGCTGTAAATGAGCTCAGAAATCCAAGGAGTAAACCTGAGGAAGTTATTTGAAACTCTGACAGGGATCCTCTGTTTTTACAGCTCGAGCTTAGTGGTGAGTTTTGATACTTGTAGGACAAAAATCACTGTTAATCAAATATGCAGATTCAGCTCAATATTGGAGCTTTTTTTTTTTTTTCCCCTTAACATCTGGATACACAGAACTTGGTTTTAATCAAGATTGTCACTTTTGTTTTTTTTTTTCCTGACTTTACATGTTAGAAAATACAGAAGAACAAAATCAACAGGAATACATTCAGAGTGACTACAGTTATAGCTGTTCTTCTGTGAAAGCAAAGGCTGCAGTTGTTCATGTGGAACAGATGTATTTTGGGCTTCTAATCATTGGCATGGAAGAATGAGTTCCACATTTCACTTTTATAGCTCTTTCAAAGTGAAATATAAGGGAGCTTTAATGTTTCTTCATTAGAAACAAAACTCATTTATTCGCTAGAAAAAAAAATAATAAAAAAATTGCACAATCTAATTCCAGAAAGTGAGGATGACTTAAAGATGTTCTGAACTTGGCACATTCACTGTTGCAACAGTTCTAGGTATTTCCTTCTCTTTCCCCATAGCTGAAGATTTTCATATTTCAGCACGTTCTCTGGTGTTTATAACTTTAAGAAAAGGACTTTTGACGTTCTGGCTTTTACCTCTTGGTACTCACCTGGCTTTCCCTCGTTCTTAAAAGAGACACAGAGGTGTGACAGCCCCGTCCCTGAGAAGAGGAGGTTCCAAGGAGACCTCAGAGCCCCTTCCAGGGCCTAAAAGGACACCAGGAGAGCCGGAGAGGGATTTGGGATGAGGGATGGAGGGACAGGACACAGGGAATGGCTTCCAAGTGAAAGAGGGGGAATTTCACGGGGATATTGGGAAGGAATTCCTGCCTTTGAAGGTGGGGAGGGAATGGGATGGAATGTCCAGAGAAGCTGTGGCTGCTCCATCCCTGGAAGTGTCCAAGGCCAGGAGCAACCTGGGACAGTGGGAGGTGTCCCTGCCATGGACTGGATGGGTTAGGAGGAGCATTCCAACCCAAACCATCCTGGGATTCTGGGATGCCAGGGGTGGAAGGCAGCTGCAGGCAGTGACCCAGCACGAAGCAGATGGTTCTGCAGTGTCTGTGCAGACAGAAATGTCACCACGGCCACCAACCCTCCAAAACCCCTCGTGTGTCTCCTCTGCATCACCCACCACAGCGGGAGCTCCTCCAGCACCTCAACGTGGGAACATCCAAACCTGCCTTGGCTCCAGTTGGAGGGGCTGGCTGGGAGGCTCATCCCCTCTTCTCCTTCTCACCAGAAAGTCTCACGCTAAAACACCCCTTATGTGCCTGATTCTGTCACCAAATAACAACCAAACCCCGAGGAGGGGCAGGTTGTGCCCTCTGAGCTCTCAGATCTGTGACTCAACCGAAAATAGGGCAAAGGTATAAATATCATGTAAAACTACATAAACACAGGGAGGGATGGGGCACAAAACACTAATAATAAAGTTCACGAGAAACTGTCATTTTTAAAGGGAGGGCAGATGTGATAAGTGCTGTGTGGTCTTTACAGGAAACTGCAGGTTCTTGATTCTTGAGATCATCTTGTAGCAGGAAAAAAAAAAAAAGAGATGCTGATCTCATTCTTCTCACATTCCATTATGAGTAATTGTAACTCTCTTTTAATTTTTTTTCTTTTTTTCTTTCTTTAATTGTCTTAAATGAGCACATCCAAAGATGTAATTCCAGTAATCTCCCAAGCCTCCCCTGGTCAGCAGGAAATCACTAACGCTCCCCATCTTCTAATAACAGACCATCGGGTTGTCATCTCTCAAGTAATTTTGTCCTAATTAACCAGCTGCCTCCCAGGGAGCATCCAGCCACCGCCATCCGCAGCGATCCTGGATTTGATTTTGCCACAGAAGGGAAAGGAAAGGAAAAAAAAAAATAAGAGGTTGTAGTTAAACCTGACGGGGAGGAAACGTGGAGTCCGTTGTAAACAAGATTTTCACACATATTCTTCTAAGATACCGCAGCGATGGGCTCGCTATTGTTGCGAGATAGATTGTGAGATTAGATAGAGCTCGTCAAGTGCAGAAACGAGCAAATCCTGCACAAAGGTCCCGGTGAAAGTTTTAGCAAATATTTCTGAGCTCGGGCAGCATCTCGAGGGGTCCCTGCCCGGTCGGTTCATCCACGAGGGTGTTCAGAGCGCTGCAATTCGTTCGGTTTGTCTCTCACCTGTGGGGAGAGTCAGTTCAACCTTCCAACCTGCCCGGCACGGGAACTCATCTGCAGGGACATCGTAACCCCGAAACAGCCCGAACAGCGCCGGGTTCTGTGACCCCCAAACAGCCCCGGGTTCTGTGATCCCCAAACAGCCCGAACAGCCCCGGGTCCTGCCACTGTGGGGACTTTAAGGTCCCTCGGTCCCTTGTTCAGCTCTCGAGGGCGACACAGAGCCCTGAGCACAACCAGTACAGCCCAGCACCACCCCAGTACCACCCCAGCACCTCCCCAGCATCACCCCAGCACCCTGAAACGGCCCAGCAGCACAGCAGCTCTCACCAGCACTGCACCAGTGCCCTGGGAAACAGCCCAGCACCAACCACACCAGTACCACAACAGCAGCACCCCAGCACCCTGAAACAGCCCAGCACCCCCCCAGCACCCTGGGGTACAGCCCAGCACCCTGGGGTACAGCCCAGCACCCCGTGAGCCAGCGAGCAGGGCGTTTTCAAATCCCTTTTTTTTTTTTTTTTTTTTCCTTTTTTTTCTTTTTTTTCAGCCCTAAAGTAGAAGGCTGGATTAGAAACCCTCTGGTTTTTCTGGAAGTTCACTCTGGACTCAGTTTTGCAGGTGCTCATGGCTGGGGCAGTGGAGCTTTAGTGCTCCCCCCACGCAGGGACGGGGCATTTCAGCCCCTGGGAGCCCTCGGTCACTCACAGCCATTTACCAACTGCCTGAAAAACATCGACTGGCTCTAAACTTCAGTCCTCCATCCACAAGAAGTGCCAAAAAAAGTTTGTCCACTCTTCAAATTACAGGATTGTGTGGTTCTGTGGTTTTCTGTGGTAGAGGCTCTGTGGTTTCTAAAGCTATTTTGTGCACCTCTAACACAGAGTAGCTGTTAGGCTTTGCTTAAATTGAATTTTCAAAGCCAGAACCCCAAGCTCTAGCAATTTCTTTGGCTATATTTAAATAAAACAACTACAACAAAGTCATGTAGCCATTGCCACGGCAACGAGCAGTGTTGGGGGGGGGAAACAGAGAGAGGAAAATCCAACCCAAACCCACCGTAATTTAACAGAAAGTTGTCCCCGTTGCTAAAGCAGCACCTTCCGCTTGCACCACCCGGGGATTCATCCTAAACTCCTTAGGTAGAAAATCGGTTTGATTTCATCTGTTGAGGGCTGACCTTTCAGCCACAATTGTTTGATCTTGCAGTATTTAGTGCAGACACAAAAAAGAGGCCACAAGCACCTGCTTTACGGAGTGAAGAGGGATTCACTTTCCCAAAACCTCCTTTATGAGCACAAGCTGCTTGGGAACAAATGACATTTTCATTGACTCTGTCGCCACCCTTTCAGCATTAGTTACCTGCTCATTTACCTGCTCCCATTAAAATCCCTTTCAGCCAATCAGAACTCTTCTGCCCCTTTTTGGGGAGCGTAAATTCCCGATCTCAGCAACTGCAGGTGGATTTACCTGGGGCAGGTTTACAGTTAGATGGGGTGCTCCTTTAAATCACTTCTGCTGCGGTTTCTTGCACTTCTTACAAAGCTCAGAGCGTTCCTGGAATTCTGACTTACCGTTATGTCATGGGGAAATATTTGGAATATCACATTGGACGTGATCCTTGTGAAATTTAATATATTTTAATTTATTAGATGAGAAGCTCCTGGGTCTGAGGCTTAAACACAAACCAAAACACCCAGAGAAATATCCTCAAACCCCAACAAGCCCTTTTTTTTACAGCCTGGGCACTATGCCAGGTTCAATATCTTAATGATTTTATATTATATGGCAAAATATGGGATGCAGGAAGCCTGGGTGTCCTTCCTGTGGGTTGGGCAGAGAGCACAGGGCTTTGTCCTTGGGAAAACTGGGATCAGGGGGCAATTTATGGGAAGTTCAAGTGCAGGAACATCTCCTGTTTGCTGTGGCAGAGTGTGACGAGATGTC